GAGGAGGACGCGCCTCTAACTACATCAACGGTGCTGAGGTGGAGATGGTTGACAGCGTCAAGTTCCTAGGAATGGTGATCACCAACAATCTGTCCTGGACCAACCATGTTGATGCAACGGTCAAGAAGGCACAACAACCCCTCTTCTTCCTCAAGCAGCCAATATCACAAAGATCCCTCCCATCCTGGTTATAATCTCTGCCAACCTCTACTGTCAAGCAGAAAATATGAAAGCTTATACATATGTACCAACAGATTCAAGAGCAAGAGGCCAGTTAACAAGCATGGTCAGTGCTGAGAACAATGTTTAGTAACTGCTCAATCCTGATAAACTTTCTAAGGAGGGGACAGGAGGTATGTCGAGGGTCTTCCTCAGACAACTTCCCAGCCTCTCTCATGACAAGCATTCCACTGGAAGGAGCCCAGCTTCCGCTGGTTATCATACAGGTCAGGGATTAGCTCCTGGAGACAGCCCCCTTCCTCTGTCTCCCAGCACAATGCAAATTGAATTCTGGACAATTAGAGAGCAGCTCTGTGCACTGAGCCGAGGATTTAGCATTTCCCTAGAGTTTGAAGCTGTCCTGGGTGAACGAACGGGTTGTATTTGCAGCAATTGAGGGGATTATATGGGATTGTAGAGTTTGCACTGGGAGGTTCTTCTCGAAAACTTTAAACTGGCAGGTTTCTCTAAGTCGCAATCTGTCAAGCCCTGTCAAGGATTGCTATGGCAACCCTGAAGATTATTCCCCTGGAGTAGAGAAGGTAACCAGGAAATCAGATAGAGACGCACAAAGCTGTGAAGGTTGAGGGAAGATATGTTTTCAGCATTTCAAACACAGGTTGATCAATTGAAGTGTTTGATCAGCCATGAGTATAGGAGTAGGGATGTCTTGCTGCAGTTATACAGGGCCGTGGTGAGGCCACACCTTGACATTGTGTGTGGTTTTGGTCTCCTTCGGGTGGCATGGTAGCTCAGTGGTTAGCACTGCTGCCTCACAGCCCCAGGGACCCAGGTTCAACTTACCCTCAGGCGACTGTCTGTGTGGAGTTTGCCAATTCTCCCCGTGTCTGCATGGGTTTCCTCTGGGTGCTCTGGTTTCCTCCCACATGCCAAAGATGTGAAGGTTAGGGTGGGTTGGCTGTACTAAATTGCCCATTGTATCTAGGGATATGCAGGCTAGGTGGTTTAGCCATGGGAAATAGAGGGTTACAGGGATAGGGTGGCTTGCTCTTCAGAGGGTCAGTGTCGGCTTGATGGGCTAAATGGCCCGTTTTCACACGAGAGATTCAATGATTCTGTGATGATAGTCTGAGGAAGGGCTTTCTTGCTATTGAGGGAATCCAGCAAAGGTTCACCAGATGGATTCCCAGATGGCAGGACTGACTTATGAAGGAGGACTGGATTGACTTGGCTTGTACTCACTGGAATTTAGAAGAGTTTGATGGAAGTGGTGGGGGGAAGGAATCTCATAGAAACATATGGAAGTCTGGATGGGCTAGATGCAGGAAGAAGGCCCCCAACATTGGGGAAATCCAGAATTAGGGGTCAGGGTTAGGATTAGGGACTGAGATAAGGAAGAATTTCTTCACTCAGAATTGGGAACCTGTGGAATTCTCTCCCCCAGGAAGCTGTTGTGGCCAGTTCATTAGATATGTTCAAGAGGGAGCTGGACATGGACGTGGCCCTTATGGCTAAAGGGATCAAGGGGTATGGAGAGAAAGCAGGAATGGGATACTGACATTGCATGATGAGCCAGGATCATATTGAACAGTGGTATAGGCTTAAAGGGCCGAATGGTCTACTCCTGCACCTATTTTCCATGTGGTACTGAATGGTGGGGCAGGCTAAACGGGCTGAATAGCCTGCTGCAGAGTGTTGGTTCCTATCTGAAGGGTCAGGAAAGTGAGGGCACAGTTGGAGGAGAGTGGGCAGAAAAGACAGAGCAATTTAAGGAAAGACTGCTTTCCTGTTGTTTATTCGATCATGGGATATGGGTGTCACAGGCAGGGCCATCCCATCCCAATTACCCCCTAGGGAGTGCAGTTCTGAGGTGACCCCATCGCTGTGGGTGTTTTTTTTTTCTTCTTTATTCATTCATGGGATGAGACTGTCTGGTGCTTACTGTGTTGACACTTGTGGGATCTTGCTGTGTGTGGGTTATTAAAATGGTGACAGCGCCTAAGCAAATGAAGAGAGGGGGATAATGGCCCGTGACGTGATTTTGCAGCATGTCGCGGGTTTGATTTGATTGAATATTGTCACACGTACCTAGGTAGAGTGAATGGTTTAGTTTTGTGTGCAGTATAGGCAGGTCATACCATACAAAGATCGTATGGTGATAGAACAGAGTGAGGAATAAAATGTTACGGCTGCAAAGAAGGTGCACAAAAGCAAGAGCAACATTGGATTTGAAATCTGAGGGATTTGCAGCAGGCTGCAGAGAGGCAGCTGGAAGCACTGCCCTGTGTGAGAAACGGACCACCCCCCCCCCGCCAACTGGTGTCCTGCTATGATAGGTAAATGAACTGAAGTTTACCGTCCCCTTGTAAATGGCTCCCAGCCTTGCAGCAGTTCTGAAGGAGTGTGGGGAAGGAAGGAGAAACTCCGCTTGTGTTTGTCATTGCCTGCATTCCAGGGGCCAGTTGCCACCAAGTGCATTCACCTCCCCCCTGTCCCCCAATTATAGGGAAGCAGAGCTTCTGTCTGAACTCTGCTGGGGTGGAGACAGTAACTGTAGCTGCAGCAGTGCCTCAGTGATGGGTGGTGGGACAAGTCTTTGTCCGGCTTGGCTGCTCCCTGCTCATTCCGTACCTTGGACTGCTGAGCTGGCTCTGTGTGTCCGTTTTCAACAGCTTCTTCCATAGCCGCCCCTTGGAAACACAAACACGCGGCCAGCTTTCCCTGGCTGGACAGCTCAGGACCAGACTGAGAGCACCATTAAATTAAACAAACCGACACTGTGTTTCTGTACAGGACAAGACCATGTTCTTTTCACAGGAGCCTCCACCTGTTTCCCCATCATGACCCTACCACTCTATATTCCTTTCTCCCTCGAATGTTTACCAGTTTCCTCATGAACTGAATTGATACAATTCACCTCAATTCCTCCCTATGGGAGCGAATCGCACACTCCCCCGCACACTCCCCCATCCACCTCCCCCACATTTCTCCTCCTCACCCTGTGGGAGTGAGCCCCACATTACCCACCCCCGCAAACCCTGTGGGAGGGTGCCCCCCCACATCCCCCCTCCTCAGCTGTGGGAGCGAGCCCCACATTACCCCCCACACCCTGTGGGAGTGTGCCCCACATTCCACCCCGCTTCATTCTCCCCCCTGACCATCCTCACACTCCAATATGACCATTCCCGAAATGGACCCAGCCAGTCCCCACACTCCGCCCTGACTGTCCCTACATGCCCTCATGCTCCAGCCACACCCTCTGCACTCTCTTTTCTGGAGAGAAGGTTTCAGGTCTGTAGGATGGATCGGAATCCTAAGTTGGGGTGGGGGGGTGGTGGGGGGTAGGGGGGGGAGGGGTCGTGGTGGTGGCACAGGAGGCCGAGGGGCTTCTCAAACGGGTCTCATCCGAAACTGGTTGGCGATCGGGGTTGAGGAAGCTGACAGGACGATACTGAATTCCGTGGCAACCAGTTATAGCAGAAATTGTGGGCAGCCACCGAAGCAAACAGACAAGGGCTTGTGGGTGTTGATGGCTTTATTGCAGTCATCTTCAACCCCAGCCACATGTGAACGAGGCGAAGGTGGGGGCAGGCTGAAAGCTGGCTGAGACTGGCCAGAACTCACTCCTTTGAAAGAACAGCAGACCTGTGACTCGGCAATCTCTCAGTCCGAGCACTTCCAAGACACTGCTAAGCTTTGATTTCGACAGTCAGAGAAACCAGCATGTCCCTGCATCCGACTGAATAGCCCAGAGTGATTCACTGTGGCACATCACCCCATGCATTCACATCCGGAATTGTTTCTTTGGCACATGTTTGTAAAGGAGGTAGAGGTGATTTATTACGGCTATGATAGCTCGGTGGCTAGTTTTAAAGGGCCAGCAGTCCAGAGGCCTGGGCTCTCAATCCCAGAGCACTGAGCTCGAATCCCACTCAGAGCACTGTAAGATCGGCATTCAGCTTAAAGCAGACCTCCCGGTAACAAACTGGGCTTTTGTGATCGGGAGGTTGTCATTACAGTACAAGAGGTAGCTTTTCGGCCCATTGAGCCCAGGCCAGCTCTCTGCTGAGCATTAACTCATTCTTCCACTCTCGCCTCATCCATGCTGCAGGTTCGCTGCCCTTAGGTGCCTTGCCAAGGTCCTTCCAAAATTACTTGGTTTCCAACATCTCCCCCCACCCTACTTTGGGCAGCATGTTCCAGGTCACATCACTCACCGTGTCAAAATGTTCTTCCCCCACCACCTCCTCCATCTCTTGACTACATCCTCGAATGTGTCCTGGCACTGTGGGAAACCAGCTTTCCTCTGCCTTACCTAGCTGTGGAGAGGTTTTCTCCCTGTGGGAGAGTCTAGGGCCAAGGGGACAGAATCTCAGAATGAGGGGATGCCCTGTTGGGGCAGAGGTGAAGAGGAATTTCTTCTCTCAGGGAGTAATGTATCTGTGGAATCCTTTACCACAGAAGGCTGTTGGGGCTGGGTCACTGGGTATGCTCAAGGCTGAGAGAGAGAGAGAGAGAGAGAAATTTTTAATCAGGAAGAGAATCAAGGGGTTATGGGGAAAAGGCAGGGGAGTGCAGTTGAGGATGATCAGACCAGAGATCATTTCATTGAATGACAGAGCAGACTCGATGGACTGAATGGCCCACTGTGACTCAGAAGCGAATGAGGTACCTACTTGACCATTGACGATACCTGTACCTTAGAAGGCTAACTTTGGGAACACTCTTCATCTATTTCACACTCCTCCCCCCCACAACCAATTAACCCATCAGCCTCCCTACCTTGTGGAGGGCGGACTGCTTTGAGCTGGGGCACTTACCCATAGCGCGGTGCTGCGTTCACGCTATTGTAGAAGAAGGGGTCGCCGTGGTTACCGCCGCTCCCCACAGGGTTGCCAGGTGCTCCTCCAGGGGGACCATGGCGTTGGAGTCTCAGCCTCCTGTCATATTCCCGGCGGCTGCTGGGCTTGCTCAGCACACTGTAGGCCTCGTTCAGGCGTACAAACCGGCTGTGCAGCTCTGGGTTGGACACATCGATGTCAGGATGGAGCTGCGGAGTCAACGCCGTTTCACACAGTTAGTCACAGAGTCATACAGCACGGAAACAGACCCTTTGATCCGACCAGGCCATAATCCCAAACAAAAGTAGTCCCACCTGCCTGCGCTTGGCCCACATCCCTCCAAAGATTTCTTATTCACATACTTATCTAAATGTCTTTTAAACGCTGTAACTGTACCCGCATCCACCAATTCCTCTGGAAGTTCATTCCACACACAAACCGCCCTCTGTGTATAAAAAAAAAATTGCCCCTCATGTCTTTTTTTTAAATCTTTCTCCCCTCATCTTAAAAATATACCCCAAAATCTTGAAGTCCCCCAGCCTAGGGAAATGCCATTTACCTTATCCATACCCCTCTACAAGGTCGCCTCTCAACCTCCTACACTCCAGTGAAAGAAGTCCCAGCCTACCCAGCCTCTTTTTATAAGTCAAACGCTCCATACATGGCAACATCCTGGTAAATCTTTTCTGAACCCTCTTCAATTTAACAATAACGGTCCTATAACAGGGGGGCCAGAACTGCACACAGTACTCCAGAAGAAGCCTCACCAACGTCCTGTATAACCTCAACATGACGTCCTAAGTCCGATATTCAAAGGTCTCAGCAATGAAGGCAAGCGTGCTGAACGCCTTCTTAACCACCCTGTTTATACGTGACACAAACTTCAAAGAATTATGTACCCCAGATCTCTCTGTTCTTCAACACTACCCAAGACCCCATTTTTAATTTGCCGCACCACACACCTTCTGACACCATTTCGCGAGCTTACCAACTATAAAATGGCTGCTGTGTTTCAGTCCAGAGTGACCAGACTTTCAAAGAAGGCCCACCCACCACGTCCTCCCTCCCCCAGGGTAAATAGCGGGACAGGCACGAGGGTACAAGCCTTAAAGTTCCAGTGGGTGGCAGGCCCAATCCCCCTACCCCTTCCCTGTAAAGCCACTTGGGGTTTTTACCAGGGCTAACCAACCTAACCTGCATGTCCCTAGATACTATAGGAAATTTAGCATGGCCAGTCCACCCTAACCTGCACATCTTTGGGCTGTGGGAGGAAACTAGAGCACCCGGAGGAAACCCACACAGACAGAGGGAGAATGTGCAAACTCCACACAGACAGTCGCCTGAGGGTAGGTTGGACTTGGGTCCCTGGGGCTGTGAGGCAGCAGGGCTAAACACTGAGTCACTGTCTAAGGATATGGGGGTAGGCCACTTAGGACTAAGATGAACAGGAATGCCTTCATCCAGAGAGCGGGGAGCCTGTGGGATTCTCTGCCACAGAAAGCGGTTGAGGCCAAAACATTGAATGTTTTCAAGGAGTTAGATACGGTTCTTAGGGCTAAAGGGATCAAACTAAATGGGGAAGAAAGTGGGAACAGGGACTGAGTTGGATGATTTGCCACGATTGTATTGAATGGGGTAGCAGCCTCGAAGGACCGAGTGGCCAACTTCTGCTCCTACTTTCTGTTGCAGCAATTAAAAAACTTTCTGCATTTATAAGGACCTTTCGTGACCTCAGGACACTCCCACAGCATTTTCCAACCAATGAAATACTTAAGCATGACTAAAAGGGAGACAAACAATCAGAGATTTTCATCTCGGACCAGGATGCAAGAAACAGACATGGGCACACCAATTTCTATAGCGTGTGACATGAGACAGAGCTCCAGCTGGGTTAACTGTGGGTCTGCATTCTCAGAGAGGCCAGGGTGACTCTGATTGGTCAGGGTCTTACCTCAGCCAGAGTTTGCTTGCGAGCCAATCAGAAGCCTTTTCTCCCCTCGGACAAGTTGTTGAGATCGTATGGAATTTGGCATACTCGCGTTTGTTCCGACGAGCGCAAGAGGAAAGTCTCAAATCCTGGCAACCATCATGTATGGAATACTGCCTGTTTGCCAGTCATATGATGCGCCCTATCCCACGAGGAATGTTAGGAGAGGCAAAGATATTGGCGCCTTTCTCCAGAAAAACGCCCCTCCCAATGCAGTGCACTCTGTGTCTGCCTGCCACGTGATCCAAGGAATTCTGGCTGACTTGAGAGTTGAAACAGTCAGGGATGGCGGGCCATGTGTTAACCACAACAGTGCTTTCTGAGCCACACAAGAAGACAGCAGGGACAAACAGCTCAGTCAAAGAGCTTGGTTTTAAGGAGCATGCAAGAGGAGAAGAAGGGTGACAGAAAAGTTTTGGGAGCTTAATTGACAAAGTGTTGGAGGGTGGTGGGGGAGGGGAGGGAGGGTTGGGGTTACCATCTCTGGAGGCCAAGACCCAACATGGCAAAGGCACTGCCCCGTCCACAAGCTTAAAACACACCCTGCTACGCAGCGAGAACCCTGGCAACATGACTGACACAGAAAACAGATCCAAAGTATCTGCCGGTCACTTCACCACAGCAGATAAATATTTGGGTCTTTCATTAAATTGTCAAAACAGTGGGAGAGTACGCTTCCCGTCTGAATCAGCCAGCTGGCCAAATTTCCTGAAATGCAAATTGTCTCTCTACAGCTCAGCGGTGAAGTCTCTGGGGAAGGATGGGGAGAATGCAGAGAGAACGGACCCACTTTGCCAGTCACTAGTGTGCTAGATGGTCACTCATAACTCCACTCGGCGAATTCAGGAGAAACACCTCTCCCCAGAGAGTGAGGAGAACGTGGAACTTGCTCTCACAGGGAGCAGGCGAGGGGAATAGTATCAGTACACTTCAAGGGATGAGGGAGGAAGTAAAAGAAGGATAGGGTGATTTGAGAGGAAGAAGATAATGCGTTTGGGATGAAGCTTGGGCTTGGGATTTAAATCGCACTGCCATCACTGAATTCATTGACCTGGGGGTTACCATTGACCAGAAACTGAACTGCACCAGCCATATAAATACAGCGGCTACGAAAGCAAGTCAGAGGTTGGGAATCTGGTAGTGAGTAACTCACCTCCTGACTCCCCCCAAAGCCCATTTGCCATCAACAAGGCACAAGTCATGAGTGCAGTGGAATACTCCCCACTTACCTGGATAAGTGCAGCTCCAATAACACTCAAGTAGCTGGAGGTACAGTGTAAGGACTGCAGGGGCTCAAGGAGGCAGCTCAGCGCCACCTTCTCCGGGGCAATTAGGAACTGACAATAAATGTCAGCCCTGCCAGCGACACCCACATCCTGCGAAAGAATCTAACAGAATACAAATACGGCGCAGATGGGCAGAATGGACTGATTTTGTAGTGGAAATTCAACTGGCACAGCTAAAGTGGGGCTTCTTCCGTGACTGGGCTGATCCTACGGGCAGTCTGCACTCTTTCACCTCACTCCATTTCATGCCTGCTGCCTCATCACCCTGCAGGTACACACCCACAGTCTGCCTCCTCTGCACTCAGTAGCAGCAAGCTGGCCCCAAGGAAGCTCGCCACTGTAACTATGTGTGGAGTCAAAATGTCCAGGAAGACTTGAATTAAATTAAGCCAGCTCTTAAAATTCATTTATGGGACAAGGGCATAGCTGGTATGCCCAGTATATATTGCCATCCCTCCTTGCCCCTGGATAAGGTGGTGTTACACTGCCTTCTTGAACTGCTACAATCCATGTGCTGTAGGAGTATCCGCAATGCTGTGAGGGAGGGAGTTCCAGGAATTTGACCCAATGACAGTGAAGGAACAGCAATATATTTCCAGGTCGGAGATAGTAGGAACTGCAGATGCTGGAGAATCCGAGACAACAAGGTGCAGGGGTGGATGAACACAGCAGGCCAAGCAGCATCATAGGAGCAGAGAGGCTG